GGGGGTGAAAAGGGACCTCCCACACCTGAGACCCCCAAACTGGGGTGAAAAGGGACCTCCCACACCTGAGACCCCCAAACTGGGGGTGAAAAGGGTCCCCCAAGCCCCCAGGAGCCCCAAATTGGGGGTGAAAGGTCCTTTGGACACCCATGACCCCGGGGGTCACTGTCTGTCCTTGACCACCAGGGTCACAACCCCGAGATCCACCCTATGGATGAATCCCTTGGGTTTGGAGCCCAATTCCCAAAAACTTGGTGGTGCTGCAGCACCGGCCCTGGCCCTGCCTGGAAGGTCCTGCCCTTCCCAGACGCTTCCCCAGGTGGCTCCAGGGGCTGTTCCCGAGGTCCCAGCGTGGACAGGACGCTCCAGGTGGCCCTGGAGGCCGAGGGAAGCGGCGGCTGGAGCGGGAATTCCCACCTGTGGATTCGGAGGAGTCGGAGGAGGGCTGGCGGTGGTGCCCGGGGGGCCTTCGCTCCGAGGAGGAATCCCCCAGTGAGGACAGGCTGCTCAACCTGGGGGGGAAGAGGAGGAGGAGAGATCAGGGATGGCCAATCCCAGGAATCCCTGAGGTTGGAAAAGCCCTCCAAGGTCATCCCATCCACCCCTGTGCCCCATCCCCACCTTGGCCCCCAGCCCAGAGCACTCAGTGCCACAGCCAGTCCTGCCCTGGGCACCTCCAGGGGTGGGGAAACCTCCAAACCTCCCTGGGCAGCCCCTGCCAAGGCCTGACCATCCCTTCCATGGGAAAATTCCTCCTGATTTCCAACCTGAGCCTCCCCTGGCACAGTTTGAGGCCCTCCTTGGACACCCCCAGGGCTGGGCACTCCAAACCTCCCTGGGCAGCCCCTGCCAACATCCAACCACCCTTTCCATGGGGAAATTCCTCCTCATGGCCAACCTGACCCTCCCCTGGCACAGCTCGAGGCCGTTTCCCCTCCTCCTGTCCCTTGTTCCCTGGGAGCAGAGCCCGACCCCCTTCCTGGCTCCCCCCTCCTGTCAGGGAATTCCAGAGCCAGAAGGTCCCCCCTGAGCCTCCTTTTCTCCGGGATGAGCCCCCCCAGCTCCCTCAGGAGCTCTCCAGCCCCTTCTCCTGCTGCTCCAGCCCCTCCAGCCCGACCTGGCCATGGCCCTGGATGTTCCCTGCCCATCACCCAGCCCAGGGGGGACAATCCCTGCCCCGGGAAGGCGCAGGATTAACCCCGTGGGATTATCGGGCAGCCAGGCCTGGCGGGGCAGGGGCAGGTCAGACCCGCGGCTTTATCCCGGCCCAGGGGCAGGATTCCAGCTCCCCCCGGGATTTAGGGATGCAATTCCCCGATTCCCAACAGCACCAGCACCACCCCTGGCCCTGCCTCCAGCCCCTCCAGGAGCTGCCATCCCAGCCAGGGTGATCCAGGGGGAAGGAGCTGGGCCAGCCCCGGCTTAGCCAGGCTAAAAGTGTGGTTTAATTCGGCTTTGCTTAAGCTCCTTCCTAATTGACTTATGGGGAGGCCAAAACACGCCCGGGAGCGGGATCCCAACTCCTGCTGCCACAGCAGGGAAGCTCCCGGGGGTTGTCCCGAAGGAATTTCGCTCCGGAGCCTTTTCAGGGCGTCCAAATCCCACCCCCAAAATCCCAGATTTCCCCCCACCCCGATCCCGGTCCCTGAAGTGGCAGCTGGAGCCACATCCCGCACCCTGCACCTCCAGGATTCCTGCTCTGGGGTTGTTTTCCCGGATTTTCACCTGTTTTCAGTGAAATTACAGATGTTTGGTTTTTTGGGAATGCACAAGCGGGAGCTGAGCAGAATTCCCTGCCCGGAATGGGGATGGGGTGAAGGAGTGAGGGCACAGTCCCAGCAAGGGGAGTCCCAGGAGCAGCCAAGGGAAAAAAAAAACTGGGAGAACCAGGAGGGAATGAAATCATCACCTTGGGACCCCACCCAGAGCAAATTCCATGATTAAAAGATTCAGGGAAAAACGGGATCAAATCCCCAAAGCTGGGCAGGAACTTTCCAAAAACAGAACTTCCCAAAAACAAAACTTCCCAAAAACAAAACTTCCCAAAAACAAAACTTCCCAAAAACAAAACTTCCCAAAAACAAAACTTCCCAAAAACAAAACAACTTCCCAAAA